TCCCACTGTAGAATATCCAGTCTATTTAAATTAGTTTTTTATAGTTAAATTTACTCATCCAACCACCGCCACCTGTAGCCCTACCGTCTACAACACTAGCATACTTCTGTGCTCTCGCAAGTACACTCAGTCTGGGTATGACCCCCGGCGTATAACCCAGATATCATGCTCCCTCTCTCTTTCTCCTCTCTCTCTCTCTCTCTCTCTCTCTCTCTCTCTCTCTCTCTCTCTCTCTCTCTCTCTCTCTCTCTCTCTCTCTCTCTCTCTCCTTCCTCTTTTATACGTACGATGATGAGCACATCAGAAAAGTTCGCGTCTGAACCACCATCGCAAATCCATGAGCCAAAGCAGAAAATGCATCTAGCATAAAAATAGTAAGCGAGATACTGAGGGAAGCGAAGATTCGGAATGACTAGGAAAAATATCGATAATGGAAAACAAATATTCATGTAAAATGATCAAATGACTCATGTTTGAGCGCGCGCGTGTGTGTGTATGTGTGTGTATATATTTATATATATGTATACGTGTGTGTGTGTGAATTTATGTTTGAGTGAATGCGAATGTGAGTGTGAGATAAATGTGTGTGCATGTACGTTGCGTCCTTGCGTGCGCGCGCGGGTGTGCCCCATCCATCTGACAAGGGAAGAAAACACCCAATCGGCAGAACATAACAAGGATACCAACTCGCGGCTTCCTTCCTCCCCCTCGGCTCGTGACGTGTTCCCTTATAAAGAGGCCTATATTTATGCCTTGTCAGCGTCATGCCTCCCGTAGACACGGCATACTCGCCCTCTCTACTTTCTCTCTCCGTTCTTATTTTTTTTTTTTTTTACTTTTTCCCTCTTTCTTCTCTGTTCTCTACTTCTTTGGAAATCTTTCCATTGCTTCACCCCCCCCTCTCTCTCTCTGATTCCTCCAACTTCATGTTTTTTTGCGATTCTTCTTCTCTATCTTGCTGTGTCTCTATATTTTTGTTAATGGTGTGTGTGTGTGTGTGTGTGTGTGTGTGTGTGTGTGTGTGTGTGTGTGTGTGTGTGTGTGTGTGTGTGTGCGTGTGTGTGTGTATGTGCGTGTATGTGTGAGAAAATGAGTGAGTGAAAAAGTGAGTGAGTGAGTGAGTGAGTGAGTGAGTGAGTGAGTGAGTGAGTGAATGAGTGAGTGAGTGTGTGTGAGTGGGTGAGTGGGTGTGTGAGTGTGAGTATGAGTGTAAGTGCAAGTGCGAGTGTGAGTTTCTATATGAGTGAGTGTACGTGCTCTGTAGAGAAGAAAAATAGAGGTAAATAAAGAGATAATGCGAAAAAAGGGAAATCAATAAGTATATAAAGTGAGAGGTAGACAGAGAAAATAGGAAAGAAGAGATAGAAAAACAAATCAGAATGATAAAAAATAAAGAGACTGTAAGGAATACAAGATGAAGAAGAAGAAAAATAGAAGACCACGCCCAAGCAGAATTCAGACTTAAGAAGAGAGGAAAAAAAACAAAAACAAAAGCGAAATTAAGTGAAATGAAGTGAAGCGACGAAGAATGCGAGAGCGGGGAGAGGGGGAAGTGGAGAGGGGGAAGGGGGAAGGGAAGAGGGGGGAAAGGGGAAGAGAAGAGGGGGGAAGGAAGAGGGGGGGAAGGGAGGAGGGGGAGGGAAGAGGGGAAGGGGAGAGGGGGGAAGGAAGAGGGGGAGGGGAGAAGGGAAAGTGGATAAGGGGAAAGGAGGGGGGAAAGGGAGAAGGGGAGGTGGAGAGGGAAAGAGGAAAGGGGGAGATCTTGGAGGGGGGAGGGAGAGATGCTCCTAGACATGGGTTTGCAGTGGGTGGCCATCTCCAAGGGGATAGTGGGAGCGGGGAGGGGAGAGGAATAGCGGGAGGGGGACATGGGAGGAGTAGGCAGAGAAGGGGGATAGAAGCAAGGAGGGAAGATGGAGGAACGAAGTGAGACAAGGAGAAGGAGAGATGGAGTAAGAGAACATGAAGAAAGGAGAGGAATGAGGGAAGTAAGGCGAGGGATGGATGGAGGGAGGAAAGGAGAGAGAAAGAGGGAAGGAGGCAAGGAGGGAGAGAGGAGAGAGAGAGAGAGAGAGAGAGAGGAGAGAGAGAGAGAGAGAGAGAGAGAGAGAGAGGGAGGGAGGGAAGAGGGAGGGGAGGGAGGGGCGGTGACTTTCCCTCGGGCACAGAAACTGGATATCAACACGCAATGGTATCCTGTGACGTCAATAAGGTATTATGTAGGATGTCCTACAGCCACACTTATCTCACACGCTCTGACGTCAAAGATGGGGGGGGGAGTGGTTGATGAAGAATGATGAAAAAAAATGAAGGAAGAAGGAAGAACACGAACAGAGGAGAGAGAAGAAGGAAATGCAGTGAGAAGAAAGGCAGGGACGTTAGACGCAAGAGAGAAGGTAAAGAAGGAAGGACAGAAGGATGGAAGAAGAGAAGTCAGGGCAATAAGGATGGGAGGTACGAGAAGAATAGAAAGAAGGAAGGAAGAAAATAGGGAACGGAA